AGTAAAAAATTAAAATAAATATTCAAAAAATTTAAATCGTAAAAATTTAAATTATTTAAATATTCAAAAATTTTAAATAATTTAAAATGTTAATATTTTAAATTTAAAAACTTTTTATAAAATAGAGTTTGAATTTATTTTTATAAAATATTTTAAAATTTAAAAAAATAAAATTGTAATATTTTGAAATTAAAATATTTAAAAATATTCAAAAAATTAAAAAAATCGTAACATATTTAAATATTAAAATATTTAAAATCTGAACAAAATCATAATATTTTTAAAATATTTAAATATTTAAAATATTTAAAAAATTAAAATATTGATTTGAATTGAGTTTTGAAAAGAGTTTGGAATTATGTGTTTGATTATGAGTTTTGAAAAGTAATGATTATGCTTTGAATTGAGTTTTGAGAAATGGGTGTAGAATTATGATTTCAAACCTCTAAACAAACAACATACTCAAATCAATAGGTGGAACTATATTTTGAGAGGCTTACCAAACAGAGCCTAAATAAGCTCTGTGATTCAATATATATTAGGGGTGTACACGGTCCGGATTGGTTCGGTTCTGAGAAAATCCAACCAAATAGAGGCTCTATTATATAGGAGCTGTGTTACAAAACATCATTATGATACAATTCAATATAATAATGAAAAGAAGACTGAAAGAAGACGGGCGACTGAAAATAGGAACAAAGAAAAGGAATCCCATCTAGCTAGCTGTATGACAATTATATTATACATACTATAATATATTAACATATTACATTAACATTAATATATTAACATCTAACGTTAAGTCTGACAAAATATTGAATCGCTACTGAGTGCTAAGTTTTGTCAATTCTATGCAAATACAGTTAAAAATGATTTATAAACCATGAATTTTTTTGCCATTTTTTTAGCAAAATTAAAGTGGAACCCAGTGATGTGTACATTTTCATGTAGAGATTAAAAGTAGAAAAACTTGAGTCTGTATATAAATTCTAGGTTCGCTTTTGAGTTAGGGCCCTAAGGGACACTTAGGCCTTGTTTGATTTGTGTTTCTTAAAAATTTTTGGGAAAAATTCTCTACATATAAGTTTTTAAAAGTAATCAAACCAAACAAATTTTTCCAAAAAAATTTCTCAAAACTTGTAAACCAAACAAGTTTTCCTGGTTCGGTCCGGATTACCGGTTCGAACGGATTTTTGAACAGCCCTAATATATATGTAGAAACCAAATAGAGGCTCTATTATATAGGAGCTGTGTTACAAAACATCATTATGATACAATTCAATATAATAATGAAAAGAAGGCTGAAAGAAGACGGGCGACCGAAAACAGGGACAAAGAAAAGGAATCCTATCTAGCTAGCTGTATGACAATTATATTATACATACTATAATATATTAACATATTATATTAACATTATATTAATATATTAACATCTAACATTAAGTCTGACAAAATATTGAATCGCTACTGAGTGCTAAGTTCTGTGTCAATTCTATGCAAATACAGTTAAAAATGATTTATAAACCATGAATTTTTTTGCCATTTTTTTAGCAAAATTAAAGTGGAACCCAGTGATGTGTACATTTTCATGTAGAGATTAAGTAGAAAAACTTGAGTCTGTATATAAATTCTAGGTTCGCTTTTGAGTTAGGGCCCTAAGGGACACATAGGCCTTGTTTGGTTTGTGTTTCCTAAAAATTTTTGAGAAAAATTTTTCACAAATAATTTTTTAAAAGTAATCAAATCAAACAAATTTTTCCAAAATTTTTTTTCAAAACTTGTTTGGTTTACAAGTTTTTCAAACAAATCTCTCTCTCATACACATCAAATCAATCACTTTTTTTAAAACTTTCTCTCAAAATAATTTTCCAAAACATCTTTTCAAAAAAAATCAAACAAAACAACTTTTTGTACTTTTTATCTCTAAAACTCATCTCCCAAACTCTCTATAAATTTTGTATAGAGAGGAGCTATAGATTAGATTAGACCAAAAAATCTCACACGCATGCACGCATTACCATGTTGCCCCACATTGAATCAGGTCGGATAAGCCCATATATCTCTTTCTTATTTAAATTTTGTTTGAATTTTTTTGACAAAATTTTTAAATTTGAATTTAAATTTTAAAATTTTACATGAATAGAGATGACCCTCTGTGACCAATCACATTTTTGCAGCCTCTCTCTACAATTTTCAAATACAATAGTTCAGAAAGTTTCGCCTTTTTCAGTCACCACTTTTCAGTCAAACAAACATATCACTACCTGTGTAGTCCTCCTCCGGCCATTCCAAGCATATCCAATTCAAGTGTTGTTTTTTTTATTCCCACATTCGCTTCTTGCATTCACTCGACATATCTACGAATCTGTCTTTTCTGAGATTGCATTACACTGCTTTGGTTTGCTAGATAAATAGTTTGTAGTGTTGCTATCGTTTGCGGAGCAAAGTGGAGATAGATGTCCATAAAATCTGGTAGCACATGTGGAGGGACAAATATTTCTTAAGAACAAAACGTTGAGCGCTTGACTTATTTTCTTACGTTGGCATATTCCTACTGTTATTATTTACTGGGTCGTTATATATTTTATTGGGCACTAGGCCTGAATGTTTAATTTTGAAACTTTTTTGGCCATAGAGGCAAAAGCAATTTGAAAGATTATATTATCTTTACATATCTATCTATTGTCTACTTATATATCTACATGTCAACTATTTATTCATATGTTACCAATTTGTCCACTGCCATTACCGGAATCTATCACTATTCTTTTCCTCCACTGAGAAAGGTTCATTCTGAGTCACAAAAGAAATCTTTTTTTTTTTTTTTTCTCCTCGTTATGGTAATGCAATGCATGAGGTCGGAAATCAAGATATTTCTAATGATGAAAAGAGCTATTATGTTATGGGAAGTTTATGAAAACTCCGATATTTAAAGGTCGGTAATGTTAAAAAGTGACTATTTGTATCTGATGGTTAGATACATACGGTCGGTATATCTTTGAAAGTTTTTGACTTTTGTGGCAACTTGCAGTGGTAGTCAATGATGGCGTTTGAGAATAGAGAGAAAAATTGATTTTAAAGTAAACCAAGACTAAATTACTTACTATGATTTTATAAAATTTGAAATCAAACCATGCTACAAAAATTTTGGAAACAAACCAAACCGAATCAGGAAAATGCAATTCGTTCGATTTTAAACCTTTGTTTTCATAAATTTTGTTATCATTCAGAACATAATAACAACTTGCTCAAAGATCAAGAAATTTATCATTACTTTATAGACAAAAATTGTTTAGAACTAGTTCTACTATTATTCAAGAACACACACTTGTAAGTAAAAGGTTAACAACTTACGAATATATAGATACAGTGGTGGAGCCATATAAGGACCAGGGGGTCACGTGCCCCCTTGGATTTTGTATTTTATTTTTTATTTTTACAAATATAAAGAAAATATTTCAAATAAAAGGAAGAGTGAAATGTCAATGACATTTTAAAAATTATGAAAATAATAATGGTTGTTTTGATTGAAAATAAAGGGACTACTATAAATCATATTATCTATAAAAATTTTAAATGTAACGGTGATATCATTTATATTGACATGCAAGTATAAGTAATTTCACTATAAAGATATGAAATTTATTGGATTGTTAGTTACATTTGGCATGTGATGTTCACTCTCTATGTGTTTATTTACTATTAGTTGAGGATATCGCATACTAATGATGACGTGATATTACCATTATATTAAATTTTTAATCAAATTTTGTATAAAAAATAATTTATCATTATATAATTTATTTTAAGACTTATATCCATATTTTTTTTATATTGTCCATGATACCCTAGTTATAAATAACATTATTTTTTTGATGTTTCTCAAAATCAATTGTAAAAACTTGCGTGAAATATTTTTGTAAATTTTTTTTGATATTGTAATTAATAAGTGTCTCCCTTAATTTAACTTTCTGGCTCCGCCACTGTATAGATATGATACTAATAAGATACTTGAGTATCTATCATAAACAACAAATTATTTATAGGAAAATTTACTCATTAATCCCATATGGGAGAATATTGATCCATTTAGCCCTAAGAATTTTCTTATGAATCAATTAATCCTTTTTATTTGTAGTGTTACTATTATTTGCAAAGTGGAGATAGATTTCCATAGAATTTGGTAGCACTTATGGAAGGACAAATATTTCGTAAGGATAAAACGTTGTGCGCTTGACTTATTTTCTTGCGTTGGCATATTCCTACTGTTGTTATTTACTAGTTGTTAGGCACTAGACCTGAATGTTTAATTTTGAAACTTTTGTGGCCATAAAGGCAAAAACAATTTGAAAGACTATATTATCTTTACCTGTCAATCTATCTGTCTACTTATATATCTATGTGTTACCTACTTATCCACGTGTCTACTTATTTGTCCATTGCTGTTACCAGAATCCATCATTGTTCCTTTCCTCACTGCAAGAAAATGGGAAATTAAACGCCGCTATAGGCTAGAAAAAGGCCGCAAAAAGATAAAACGACGTTTATAAAATTCGTCGACGATGCGGCCGTCGTTGTATCTTTGTGACGTTTGAAAAACGCCACTAAAGACTTTAGACGACGTTTTCTAAAACGCCGCTAATTCTTTACAGCCGTTAACTACACACGTTAAAGGAGTTATCTCTGACGTCATAATGACAACATTTCGCGACGTTTTTAAGAAAAACGCCACCATTTCTTTCATTTTTTTGAAAAAAAATTGAAAAATCATAATTAATGATCTTTTTACTTTTGTTCAAACCAAACCTACATCATCCATCACCATTCTCAAAATATATACCATAATGTAAATGAGCATTCATTTTTCAATTTCCCATAAAATAAATAAATAAAACCTCTTTAAATACAATATGACAATACAAAATCAAAAAAATAACAATATTCAGTGTGCTCTCCAAATTCTCTGAAAATAACTTCATCCACAGCTCTCTTCAGCTTCATCAAGTCATCAATCATCTTCACCAAAATGATGATTATATAACTGAATCATCCAATTCCATTAACACAACTTCATTAAACTTGAATGGTTGAAAAATCTATCATAGTGCGACCATATATAAAAATTAGTTTGTGTCAATCATTGTACCATTCACGGATGCCTCTGAAAGGATATCAGAATTCAAGCTAGAGAGAGCTGTTAGCACCAATGGGTGAGAAGCAAGTGTAGAAGCAGGGATCCTGAAACAAACAGATATTCAAACCAGTTATGAGAGTTCTATCATGTAAACTAGGGTGGGGAAGTTGTGCAAAATGGATATCATAATCACATAAGAATTTAGAACATCCACATGAACAACCAAAAATACCCAATCACAAAGCTTTCAGTTTCCCAAGAGTAACACAGACATATGCATAGAGAGAGAGAGAGAGAGAGAGAGAGAGAATAAAATAA